GAATCAATATTTTTTTAAAAAGTGAACTAGGGATGGAGAACAGAGGGAAAAGGGGTAAAATGTGCAACAATGAATGAATGAAAATCTAACTTCTTTGTAAACTTTCACTAAAATCACAACTAAAATTAAAAAAATTTCTTTTTTCTTCCTAAAAAAAAAAAAAGTGTAACATTTCCAATGTGGATATTCTGGAGAAGTCACTCTCCCTGGATTCTGTCCAAGTGGCCTATGGGAGGTTAGTGCTCTGTTCAGTGATGTACCCTTTCCAAAACACTGGAGAGAATGCTGGGCTCAGATTCTGTGCCTGCATATTTCTACAACTTGTCAGTCTTACAGACAATGACTGAGGAGACAAACAAAAAGCTTCTTCCTTTTGGGGGGGAGGGGGAAGTGGGGGAGAAAACGTGTAATTTAAGTTACAATTAGGCTTCTGTGTGTTGCCGAGCACAGCAGTGAATGGCAAGGGGGAAAACAGTTCCAGCCAGCACCACAGGCAACATGAGTCTATAGGGAGAAGGAATGGAACTTTACATAGTTACCGTAAACAGATGTGAAAAATGTTTTATTCATGACTATTAACTTGTGGAGGCAGTTGTAGTAATAAAAGATTTGATTAGAAATCATTCTTTGTTTTTAATTTGTCAAAAGACAAAATTTGACAAGGAATTCAGTAAACAGTACAATGGAACTGACACATAGAAAGTGGAGCTGCAGGCCGGCCTCACAGTCCTTTCAAAGGTTACTTGGAAGTTGTCTGTATGCTCCCTCCGTTCTTTCAGCAAATTCAAAATGCCCACCACAATTCTCCACACTAAACTACTGGAAGCCATTAAGTAGGTCTTGTCAGCATTTGTAGGAATTGTGGCACAGAAGGCTGCAAGTTTTACTCCACAGCTGCTCCACAGGTAGAGGATGAGGCAGTTTGCTTTATAAAGACTTACGGTCTCTGAAACCCTAGAGGGCAGTTCTACTGGATCCCAATCAATGACAGTGGGTTTCTGACAGTATTTGTAGGTATTCTAAAAAGGCTCAAACTCATGCACAGAAACTCCATGGTCACTAGTAGTCTGTACTAATTTCAAAAAGATGAAAAGAAGTGAGAGATGGAAACAAGAAAGAGAGCAGTGAAAACTCCTTGCTGGTCATCGTACAGTGAACCTGACATGATGTAGCACAAGAGTACTATTCCTTGGTGGGCTGAATTCTGCATCTTTTCCCAAAGCAATCACCGCACAGAGAAGGATTCTAACATTAGAGCCTACACAGTTTTGTTATAAAACGAATAGCAAAGTAAAAGCCAGCTACCTACTTGATGATCAACCCAAGACAGTGACTTGATCCATCCTGAGGATCACCTGGTGATGTTGGGACTAACTAAAACATGAGCCACTCCTGGGACATCTTCAATTTTTATCTAACGTGCTGATTTTATATAGTTGATAAGCTAATGACTTATGCCCCTGGTGTTACCTCAAAGTCATCCTCTAATAATTCCTTTCTTTTTATGAGCTGCTTTTTCTTCTTTTTGCTCAGATTCTGGTGTTCCACAATCTTGTTGTAATTGAAATGTTTCTTGCTGTCCTCCTCCTCCTCATCCATCATGAGCAAAGCCATTTCAGCCTGTGGAGAAAAGGAGTTTAAATATACAAGATCCTTGCTCCAGTAAGTGGAATGGGGCACGAATATTCTAGGAAAGGAGAAATCAATCACTAATAGAACTTGGTTGTAAACCTCTGAGATTCACAGGGACTCTGAGACCACTGTGTAAGATCGTCTTGGAAGTAGTACTGACACTGGGAGGAGGGCAAAGAAAGCTTGTATTTAAAACCTGATCACGTTGCATTGAGAATAACTGGTGTAAGAGTACTCAAAAATTCCTCTTCATTTTAAGTCATTCTAATGACACAAATGTAGCAAATGTGCATTATTTAGTGATGTATTCAGCAAAATCATTAAACAAGTACTTTTACAACAAGGACTTATTAATTAAATTTCCTCTTTTAATACGGAAACATTCCTAGTAGGGTAAGTTCTTAACATTTATTACTAAAATATAACATGATTGTTTTTTCCAGATACAAGGAAATTCAATGTGAAACTTCAAGGATTCATCATGTACTGGAAAAAGAGCATTTGTTCCCTGGCCTTTGGAAATCTTCCTATATTATTCATTCAGTCTGCATTATAAAGGAAGATTTTATGGGTTTAAAATAATTTTTAACCTTGTATTAGCTGGAGAAATAGTTTTTTTGGCAAAAAGGAGTTATTTAAAAACTAAGCTGTTAAGTTTATATATTTCCCAACTGAATTATAGAACTCATGGTCAAAACTTGTTCTTTTTCTTATCAGGGATCTTAGAAATAATATTTCCTATGAGTTTAAATTAATGTACATTCATTATTCACTAAGCAGGCAACAATGATCGTATCTTACTTTTTGCCTTTCTATCTCAGTTTCTTCCTCTGGCGATGTGGACTCTTTTGTAGAGGCTCCTGATTTCTCCTTTCCATCTGTTATAATGCAAGTACATGAGAGGTGGTTAACATTATAGGAGTATCAGTAATAATCTGCTGACACGAGTATAAAAATACAAGATGTCTAGAGATAACCTTAACCTATAGCACTTAAGAGGGAAAAATATTGAGAGAAGATGATGGGCATAAATAGAATAAACATTTTTTAATGGAAATATTATAAAGAAAGAAGTTCTTCTGAAAATGGCATGTAATTTATCCCCTCTATGGACTGGGAAAAAATGGTACACTCAATTTAACAGGTGTACAATCATCATTAGTTAAAATACAACTATTTTTACATAGTAAAACATACACATTTAAAGAAATTTGAAGTAAAATTCTAAATAATAATGAGATGGATTGGATATACCAGTGTATGTACAATACAATATATGAATATATACTACAAAGTGAAAATAGGAAAGAGGTATAACATTCTTTGTGAACTATGTTCAACAAGACTGTGTCCTAAGACCCCAAGCCCAGCAACTTATTCCCTCAAGACATTGGCTTACGGCCAAGAAACTGCCATAACTTTGCTCCCTGTTATGTTCCTTAGAAGTGGGGTTGGCGAGACTTCATCTCACATACTTTGGACATGTTTTCAGGAAGGGTTAATCTCTGAAGGAAGACATCACACTTGAAGAAGTCCCCTAGTAAGATGGACTGACTCTGTGGCTGATAGCAATGGGCTCAACCACAACAGCAACTGAGGACAGTGCAGGGTTAGCACTGTTCTGCTGAATAAAGGTCTTGATGAATTGGAACATCAACATGCTCAAGTTGTGTCTGCAGTATATGCAGACACACACGAAGAAATACTCTCCCAAATATATATTTGTTTCTTATGGTATCCATACGCAGTAGAATGGCATTCAAGGTCTTAAAGAATAACAATGAATCTGCAAAATACCTTATAATTTGTATGAATGTGAAGGTCATTATGCTGACTGAAATTCAGTGAAACCACTAAAGAGCAAATAGTGCATCAGATCTCTACTACAAAACAGTCACACACACAGTTTTCCCACAAAAAGACAATGGTTCTTATTTGGACCATGGGCTCCTGGACCACAGTGGGCACTACCTCTAATTCATGTTGTGTCTCCCTCCCTCCCTTCCACCTCCTTGGCACTCTGTTCCTGAGCTGCTTTCTTATCTTCCTGATCTGTAACTACTGGGGGGGCCTTAGTCCTCCATTCCGTCGATCTAATTATCAAAGTTCTTTCACCCAATCCTATGGCTTTAAACAACTTGTTATGACTGACTTTGTTTTTATCTCTAGGCTTTCTCAGTTCTAGACTTGAAATTCCAACTGTCTCTTTGAGGTCTTATTTGCTCAAAGAATAACACTGTAAGAACACAAACCCAAGAACTTTTAGAAATCCACCCTTTAGTCCTGCAAAGAAATGAATTATGTAAGTATCACCTAAGCAACAGCTCCTTTAGACCAGTAAAGCAAATGCGGCCAGTCTGCGGCAAAAAAGTACCGCTATAATTGCCCACATGGGCCTGCACTGACAGGAACTTTCAGAGACACAGGATGCTAGATGTGATGCTGTCATCCTGAGTGGATATAAGTAAGTGTGTGGTTGACAAGCAGATGAGCAGATAGATGGCCTTAGGTTAGACCTGGTTCAGCTGAATTCCAGTTATGGCAGTTTGCGTCTTTGCCTTTATTTATAAAGTTACAGCACTCACCTCATTCGGTTTTTCGGGGAGTAAATGAACTAGTGTGATGTACTTAATGGCATATATTAGGTGCTACTGAGATGCTTCAATTCACACAAAATACAACAGAATGAATCCTGGCCCAATCCTATACCAGTTGCAGTCTCTGCTTCACCAAGATGATGCTATTCTCCAGAGACCAGGTCTCCTGATAATAATTCCTAAGCAAGTAAGATGAAGTCTGACCATTCTGCCTTCTAAAGAGCACGCTGGCTGCACTTGTTCCAAGACAGACTTGTTTATTCTTTTCACAGGCATATTAGCATTTGCCATCACATTTCAAAGGCGTCAGTAGTTCAACCTTTCTCATTCAATGTCCAACTTTCATATGTACTCAAGTCAAGTGAAAATACCATGGTTTGGATCAGGAGCACCTTAGTCTTTATAGTTACATCCTGACTCAAACATTTTAAAAAGGTCATTTGTAGAAGATTTGCCCAATGCAATACATTTCAGAGATCTGGTGGAAAAAAGCACTATATGCTGGCAGTCTGAATCCACCCGCCACTTGCTGGGATAAAGGCAAACGGTCTTCAGTCTTTCCACCATCCTGGAAAGCTGATGGAGTCACGATGAGTTAGAACTGACCCCATGGCAGTGCATCTGGCCTGATACACGGGCTCTCCGTAAGTGCTCGCTATCACTGTTGCAGCAATCTATATAAAAGATGCCCTGAAAGAAGGGCTGATATCCCATTTTTGATTCCTTACGATTTGTCTGCTGGAGTGGGAGACAGGGAGCTGGCGCCAGGGTGCTATAACACAGAAAATTAGCCTGGATAATAGCAATGTCCAGACTCTACAGAGCCAAACTTGGTAGCTCACATTGTTACTGCACATGTCAATCCTCCCTGCCCCATTGCACGGTCTTCTCGGAATCAGCGGTGACTGCCCTATTGCAGTGAAACAATGATCTCGAAATCAATCATGCATATGCATTAGCATTTCCAGAACAAGCAGTGCTGTTAAACTATTTATATCAACCAATTTAATCACCACAACAGTGTGATAAGACAGATCATACTATTCATTTTAATCACTTTGTGAACGAAGAAACAAAATTTCAGGTTTATGAAGTAAAAAAGCTGCCACTAAATCAATGACAACTCACAGCAGCTTCATGGGCCTGAGAACTGACTCACAGGGTCTCTCAAGCTGTCTGACTGCCACTCCTTCCTCCCAAGGAAAACAGGGTACTTAACGGTTAGCAGCCTGAACTCAGCTCCATTCCACCGGGACTGGCTTCCCATGGTGTGAAGGAAATGGAATTCCCACTGAAGCACTGTGGCTCAGGCTCTCACTACCACCTACCACGCTGGCCTGCTTCACTTTCAGATGCTATCCTCCCTCTTAACATCTCTCTGAAGTTAAAAAAAAAGGCAGCAATAAAAATAATACGTAACAAAACATGCCATCTCAGTAATTTCCAAGTGAGTTCTTTCAACTTAAAAATGAATTATGCTATCACATGATGAAGTAGAATTCAGAGTTATGGTTGGATAACTGCATTGAATGGTGAGTGGGTGGGACTGAAACAGGAAAAAGCCAAGTACAAAGTGAGAAGATACTCCAGAAAATATTCCGTGCCCCGCTGTGCAAGAAGATCTGAGCTGAGAGGACACACCACCACAAAGGCAACACCAGACGTGCCCCAGTGATACCAAGGCATCTGGGACGCACTTTTAAGGGGAAATAGTCATTGTATGCAGCTATGCTCCATAAAATGACTAACTATCCTTGTCACATCTAACGTGATTTTAGGGAATATATTCTCCTTAAGATGATTATCTTTCCTCTTTTAAATATATGTGTAGTGTGTATTTAGGGAGCTCTGGTGGCCTAGTGGTAAGGAACTGTACTGTAACCCCGAAGGCACACAGTTCAAACCCACCAGTTGCTCTTGGAGAGAAAGATGGGCAAATCACCACCCATGTAAATAAACTGCCCCTGAAAACCTGCTGGAGTTTTCAGCTACAGGTCAGCAGTGAATAAATGGTACACAACAACAACAGAATGTTTTTATATATTATATGAGTTTGGACACGTAAATACAATATCCAAGTATCATCAAAGCAAGGATGTCAATGGACAAGCAACACCTGCAGATGATCTTCTGGCAACCACAAGAAAGAGACCATATATAATTAACATATGAACAGAGAAAGACTTTCACATATAGATGTGGGAAATAATTTTACCAAGTCCACAGTAAACTGTGCAGGTTTTACAAAACTTGGAGAAAAGTCATAAAAATAAACTTGAAAAGAAAAGCTATAATGAGAGAAAGTCCTTGACATATTAGTGGAAGGAATCAAGAATGTGTACCAAAGCAACTGGATCTTCTCAATTGTTGTTATGTGCCGCTGAGTCGCTTGCAACTCATAGTGACCCTATGTACAACAGCCCTAAACCCTGCTCTATTCTGTGACAATCGCACTGCGTCTGACACACCCATCCCGATTACCCCAGTCACTAAATTAGTTCACCTCATAGAGGGTCTTCCCTGCCTGTGCCGTCCTTCCACCTTCCCAAGCATGATGTCCCTCTCTAAGGACTGGGCCCTCCTTAAAACATGTCCAAAGTATGTCAGATGAAGCCCCAGAAACTTTGCCTCCAAGGAGCAGCCCGATTTAACCCTCTCTAGTTTGAATCTGTTTGTTTTCTTAGCAGTCCACAGTACATTCAATACTCTTCTCCAGCACCATAGCTCAAAGGCATCAATTCTTCTTCTATCCTCCCTAGTCATTGTCCAACTCTCTGATGCATAATAAGTGATTACAAAGACCACAGCCTGTATAAGATGCACCTTAGTTTCCAGAGTGACACCATCACTCTTCAGTACTTTGGAGAGGTCTCTATCAGCAGACTTCTCCATCACAACACGTCTTTTAATTTCCTGGTTACTGTTGCCAAGAATTTGATCAACTACTATGAAGATAAAACCTATCTTCACAGTAGTTTCTCAAATTTCTAAAAATCATCAAGCAAAGGATATATTTTATTTCAGGCCTAGTTCTAAAAACCAAAAACTTACTAAAGAATGTTTATGCAATTAATATACAGCACAATTTGCAATAATCATTTTGAAAAGAAAAAAATATAACTTTCTTTTCTTTTAGAATCGCAAATGATTTAAAAACTCCCATTTGATAGAAGTTTGCGGTTTAGAGAAAAAAAAATCAGACAAATTACATCTAGTTTACAGTTGCTAATTAAGTCAATCCTTTTCTATTCTGGAGGTTGTGCACAAAATTCAAAGGCTTTCCTTAACTTCTTTTATGAAAAATGTCTTAAGTTATTAAGATCAAACGTAAGCATTTACTCTTAGAAAGCACTGTGAAATCATACTGAATGTCAGCCAATTTTATCTTACCCCTTTCCTTAGAACTCGTGATACCAACTTTGTACAAAGCTTAGTCACAACTTAAATGGACATATTTTAAGAAAAAGGCTACCCTAAACGATCAAGCCATTTAACTCACTCTTCTCTTCCATGGAGTTCTGTAATCTGACCAGATTTCACATACCAAATGCAGCACTTTGGAATGAGAAGAAGGAAACTCTAAGGCTTCACATTTTTATATTAGAACTGTGGTTTTGTGAAATCAGAGGACAATGCCAAAATCCATCATCTTCCAGAAATGACTTCTTAGGTATGATGAAAAGAAGAATATGCAAACTTTCCACTTTTCGTTCCAATTCTCAAGAGTCTCACAACCTATGACAGACTTTCTTCATCTTAATCGCTTGTTCATCAATAAAATGTCAGTGCTTAATGGTTAGAACAACCAGGAAATAATTTCACTTTCCTATTCAGAATCATTTTGGTACAACAGTTAGAGGCTCAAGCTGAGAAACTTTACAAAATTCTTCTCTTTACAATGCCAAGTGGTTCCAGGAATAAGGTTTTTTTTTGTTTGTGTGTGTGTGGTGTCTACAGATCAGGGGATGGAGAAAGAAATGCATGAGATGAAACGAAAGTATTGACAGTGGACTCTGCATGGACATGACCAAGCATGGGGTGGATGTCAGCCAGCACACATGTTCAGACATACCCAAAAGGTAAGGATGACAGTGCTGACAAAAGCATAGGAGTCAATGGTGCAAAAGCTACGGAAACAGGTTCCAGAGACACAGGAAACGGGATACTGGACACTCGAAAGATTTCAGGAAAAAGTGAAGCAAAAGGAAAGAGGGCTTTTAGTTAAATGAAGCAGGATGAAAGGAAAAAGGGATAAAATAATACAGATTCTTTATGAATTTGGGCAGAAAAAGTTTTCTGATAAATAATAAAAGGCAAAGCTTTCAAAATGAATTACCAAGCATAAATTTTTAAAAATTCATATATATACAAATCCATAAAAACATAAAAAATTAATTTCTCATTCTTTCCAAAGACAAACCTAGAGTGAATTTTATACACAAATAAAGTAGCAGAAGTAAAGTTTCCTTTTTCTATTTACTCTCACTGTCTTGTAGAGTCAAGTTAGTTTTCTATGATATTGCCCAGAAAGGAACTCATTAAAATGTTAAATTAACTATGTTGCCTAATGAAGTTATTCTACAAAGGAATTATTCTCCTACATACAGGGACACAATGACCCTTTCCAATCTGGTCAGTGATTATCCCCACCAAGATGAACCTGCTTGAAAGCTGAAACGAGAACAACACAAATTCTAGATTCTTTGTAGAGGAGGACTAGCCTTTAATTGTTTCCATCCATGTCAGCTTTTTTCCTTAACATTCCAATTAAGAATTACAAACATGGGCTGACTTACTCATTTTTCTAACTTCTTCAGCAAAGTATGGGTCATTCAAATCCACATCAGAGGGCAGTTCATCTTCACTGTTATCTTTAGCAAGAGCCTTAAAATAGAATATTTAAAAAAATCAGTTTCATTATCATAAACAAAAAAAAAGGATGTCATCAGGTTGACGCCAAATCACAGCAACCAGACAGGGCAGAATAGAAATGCCTCACAGGGTGTTCTAGGCTTTGCATCTATATGGAAGCAGACTTCCAAATAGCTCCCGTTGAGCAGCTGGTGGACTCAAATGGTTAATATGTAAGCAGACAGGGCTTAACCACTTGTAAAATTATTACACTGAAAGATATTTTACTATTTATTTACAGCATATTCTAGGGAAGAAAGCCAGGTAGCATATTTTACTTCATTTCATCATAACCAGAAAGCGAGCATAATAGAAGTACAAAAATCATTCCACTGCATTATTCAGTTCTGCGGCCCTTTATCTTGGCAATCACTCTCCATGTGCTATAAAAGCTATAGCAAAAGCACTGAAAGTCACCAGCAGATGGAGAACTAATATGGTACAACAGGACATAGGACAGAGTGTGTGGATTCTGGCCCCAAGTTGGTCATTAATAGGCTGTGCAATCTCAGGTAAGTAATTTTGTTTTCTACAATTATAAAATAACAATATTGGACTTGAATTAATCATCTAAGATCTTGCTGGTTTTAACGTTTTGTGATTATCACTGTTACCTTCTTAAGGTAATAACTATCAGAATGCTGCACCTTAGTGACAAGTATTCAGAGTATTCAATGATGAAAACCACAGGGTCTCTGGGGACTCTAAGTTTGGAAAAATGTTATTCTCTGAATAACAGGAATTGAATCATTATTTCCTCTAGATATAGCATCACAGAGTAACACTTGGAAAGAAAAAAATTAATGGCTATTTTTTTATGCTAAGAGACACAAATTTTTCAATTAAGCAAACGGTACAAAATTCACAACGAATAAATGTCATTTATATTCAACAACACATTAACTAGTCACATAAAAGTATATTTGGTAATTTAATTGTATTTTGGTAATTCAACATTTTAGAATTTACTAAGGATAAAGAGAAAATAAAAACACTTTCAAGGGCGACGCAGCGCGAGGGCGAGGCTGCAGCCCGGGGAACGCCGCCGCCAGCTGGGGGAACGCACGCCGCCGCCCGCCAGACCGGGGAACGCCGCCGCCAGACGAGGGAACGCCGCGAGAGGGACCCGGAAGAGACCCAGGAAGAACAACAGCCAGCCACCTACCGCGGAACTCCAGAGGAGCGAAGACTGTGAGACCCCAGAGGAGCGAAGACTACCGGACACTGTGGGACCCCCCTTCAACCCTAAAAACACTTACAACTGATACAGTAAGATGGCTGTTGTTGGGTGTCACTGAGTTAGAACCGACCCACAGGTGACCCTACAGGTTTTCAGAGGCAGTAAATTGCACGGGAGAGGGTTGCCCACCCTTCTCCTGCAGAGCAGCTAGAACCATGTGTCTTTGAGATTATAGCATAGTTTCTTACCATTAGGTCACCAGAGCTCCCTAAAATTAGAAGACTGAAAAACAAAATTTTTTAAGTTTGTGACCAAACAAAAAGTTAGTTTCAATAGCTCCCTAATTTAAGTTCTTCAGGGCACTGCAGATGGTAATTGAAAAATCAACTGAGATGAGATGGTAAGAGATGTATGTAACAGTAAAGAGTGAGAAATGAAGGCAGAGCAATATACATAAGGAATAATCTTTTATATGAAAAGTTAGATATGAATAGACCTTCAAATTTAATATCCTGTATGTCCCTTTATTCTGCAAAAACAGAAGAGAATCATACTATCTTATCTAGGTATCACCTTGGCTGTGTATGAATTCAGACCATGAATGTAAAATATTACAGAGCAGAGGTTAAGGCATCTCTAGGGTCTTACCAGGCTTTTTTATAACACTCGTGGAAAAAAATTTATTGGACTTTCACCTTCCTCTTCTTAAAAAATTGTGATGGTAAGAAGGCCTGCCTCTTCTCTTAAGTGTTAAATCATGAGGTTAGAGATGCCCAGCTCTTGACACCTTCTGAAGCATGCATGGTTGCTGCTCAAGAAATATTTGGTCATTAAAATCACTGATACCTTTTGTTTCTTTTTCAGCCTTTTTTTCTCCTTCTTCTTCTCTAAAAATTGTTCCCAAGGAGTTAGTTTATCCTTTCCTTCCAGTTTATTTTTGACCATCTCTTCTGCACTTTCTTTAAGACCTGTGGAAAAATCGCAAAGTTTAGTTAAAACTGATACATCATTATTCACTTAAAACAGTAATTTACTAAAACATCTTAAGTAATAAAGATGCTTATGTAGTGTGTGGTTGGGGTTTTTTTTAAGGACAAATCTGGGTTGAGGGGAGGGAGAACTTCAAATACTTAAATGATAAACAATTGCCAGTTTTCAAAATAATTAATGCAATGGTTTGCAATGCTATTCTAATAAAATTGATAGGTAATCGAGATCATCTGGCCACATAAAAGTCCAATTAGAAAGTAAAAAACAATGCTAAAGATACTGTAACTTTTCTCTGATGAAAATACTGACAAGCATTTTACCCAAGAACATGCTGCCAGGATCCTCCAGGCCATTCTCATATACACCTAAACTGCTGGCCTGATGGATAAAGAAATGTACAGCCTACAAAATAAAAAACCCAAACTGCTTTAGGTCTGATGATCCTTACAAGCAAAACAAATTTAGTCTTCATCAAGTGTATGATGTCTCACTCCACGCACATCTTTATTGCAAAAATGCACTCCTTTCCACAAATTATTTTTATAGATAGATCTTCAAATATATAAAACAACTAAAAGCTGTGTGGGCTTGGATTAAGGGTGACGGGAGAACCTTGAGCCTCAAAAAAAAGGTTTAAAACATTTGGAACAGATGGTTCTTTAGGTTCATTCCTTGGTTTGATCTTTACGTTTCTATGATTTAGAAAAGTATTAAATTATGTACATACTCAAGGTTTTGTGGATTATTTTTATAGCATACTGTTGGTAAAATCTCTGATTTATTAAAAATCTCTGCTTTGTTCTTTGTGTTAAACCTCAAAGACATCTCTTAAATAAATGCTTATTATGAGAAAACCAATCTATTTTATGAAATCATTTTCAGGAAAAAAGTGGAGCACTTAAAACCATGTCCAAATCTCTTGACTCAATAATTAAACCACCTAAGAAATGAGATCTAGGATCCTAATATTCATGTACACTGTATTTTCAATCCAACTTTCTCCCCATGTTTGGAAGCAAATCCTGATACCAGCTTTTTTGACCATAAAGTATTTTCTGATTAACTGGGCTCCTTGAAGCCTTGCTTCACTGTTTTGGTGACTACAGTTCTGGTCAGAGATCGCTGGTGGAATTGTCTACCGGAACCTGCACTGTTCTCTCTGGTGGTTCAAATACACTGGCGGGCCCTTAGGAAAAAAATGGACAATCTCTTCTCATGACAATTTTTGTCTCCAAAAACTTGCCTAAGGTTTAGCTATGAACCTCCATCGTGATGATGAATGAGGGAGATTTTTTGATCTAGTCTGATGAGCTTTTATCTCAAAATGTGATTTCACATTTGAATAGGTCTTGACCTTTTTTGGGACATGAATCCTTTATCAATTTGATAAAATGCCTTTTCCTTCCAATATTGTAGTGTTAGAAGACAAAGTAAAGCAAACAATAAACAAACAGAGTCATATACAGAGTTTGATGGCTTGTGGGATCTGGTGTAAGGATCCAGGGAACTCAGAAAACGAACTTTTATAGAAGCTATAAAGTCTAGGGGCAGAATGGAATGAATCTCTCCTAACTCCCATTTGATATCTGTAAGTTCTACATCAGTATTTCTCATTTTCAATAGCATTGTCCATCTAAATCAGATAATTCATTGTTGTGAAGGGACATCCCATATACAGTAAGCTCCACAATCCCTCTGGTCTCAGTACTCCAGATGTCAGTCCCATTGCCTTAGTCTTGATGGCAGAAAAGATCACCATATCCCAAATATCTCCTTCAGGACTAAACATTAGATCTACCGTTCCAGACAATAATTTGATAATGTATCGGAAAAGAAGGGCCATGCAATATCTATATCATCTAGCCGGAGTGCTATTTAACTAGGCACCATGATTATATAGTGCCTTTTCTACTGAAAGAGAGACCATCTGCATATGCCTTTTACTCCAACTAGATCAAAGCAATTTAAGGTCACCTTTGCATTATATACAAATGTAATGCATTATATTAGCACAGTGCCAGACCTAAAGTAAGTGCTTAGTAAACAACTGATCTATCTTGAAGGAAGGATTTTAGTTCAAACCAATTGTTTCAAGTCTCATGTTTGGGATGTATTCTCTTCAACAGATAATCAATCAGAACTTAAAGATCACAATAAACTGCCTTTATTTCAAAGTGGGTGAGTAGGATGGACTTACAGATCTAGAATAATTTATAAAGCTTATTCTCAAGAAGTAATTTTTTTAGTATTTACTGTGTTCATAAAGACATATCTTTAATTAAAGATCTTCAATTAAATACAGTCTAGAACTTTTTGCCTGGATCTCAATAAATACACCAAAATAGGAGTATGACAAAGACGAACAATGAAATAATACACCCGCAGGATAACTTAAAAATGCTTTGTTCTCATTGTCATTGTGAGGTCATTGCACAGATCACATTTGTTTATGCCCTAAATTTAAAAATATGTTCATCCCAGCAGCCTCTTGGCTTAAGCACAAGAACATTTTTCAGAGACAGTTCGATCCTCATTTGAGAGAAGCCATGATGTGACTGAAAAACAACTTCACTGTAACTTTGTTGTTTTGGACAAATTTGTTTAAAACTTTCTTAAGTGTACATCCAAGCACAGCTGAATTACTTAAAAACAACTTCAGAAATCCTAAAATTAAGAGATTTAGCCAAAAAATCCTTTCAAAGTCAACCATGAATACAGATGACTCAATTATGCCAATAATAATTTAGTGTAACCCAGTCAGAATAATTTTGGCTGTTTGTATACATACAAAAATGCACACAAATATCTTTTCAAAATCCACAAAAACAAGTATATACATTTTTTTTTTAATGGCATAGTTTGAAATATTTTAAAAGTCTTCAAAGGGCAGGATGTGAATAACTTAAAATAACCAAACCTGGTATTTAAAACTGATTTTGTTTACAGAAACAGAATGTATGTTTTAAGATTTCTGGTATAGGGTGTTTTGCCGCAACCACGAAAAAAAAAAAAAAAAGGTTTCTGGTATAATCTGACACTTGCCACTAAATTGGGCAATTATTATTTAAATGATGGCTTTGAATCTATGAGAATATTTACGAACATTTAGATTTCAATCTTTTTTCGAAGTTGAATGTTGAATATCTCAAATGCCCTCACTGCCACTGAGTCAGAAGTGACTCCTGGCAGATTCTGGGATGCTGTAAATCACATAGGAGGAGGAGAACCATCTTTCTCCTGCAGAGAGGCTGTGGATATGAACGGCCAGAGGCTCCACTTCTGGATTAGCAGCACAATTCTGTATGAACAACACTACCGGAGTTCCCTAAAGTTACAAATCAGATCACTCTGATTTTAAAGATATAATTAACCAGTATCACCTTTTACTCCCAACCAACCAACCAACCAACCAACCCATCAAATCCCCACTGCACCAGCACTATGCATGGTAACCCAGGTGTTAACAGTGTAGAAATGCTACTTACTAACCCCGGAACACACAATTTGGAATCCACTACAGGTAGAGGCTTTTTAGAGGAAAACTAGCCAAGCCCTGGAGAAATGGTGACATCAAAGATACTTGTTTACAGCTGGCTTCCCAAAGATAAGGGAAGGAGAGGACACATTCACCCATATAACTGGGATTGAGATGTCACTAAGGGACTCCAACTGATAATACAAAACACTGCCTGATCCCATGCCAGTCTCATCACATCTTCTGTGCAGCTGCCATCAGTGTGGTGTGTGTCAATGTACTTTGTTGAAGGTTTCCTTCTTTTGATGATCCTCTTTGGTAATATGCCTAACGTATGGATCATGGCTGAAAGCAGGGAGTACCAGAAAATGTCTGTGTTTCATTGAACATGCAAAAGCATTTGACTATGTGGATCACAACAAAATGTCGCTAACCTTGAGAAAAATGGGAATCCCAGAACACTTGACTGTACTTATGCGAAACCGATACCTGGACCAGAAGGCAGTCATCAGAACAGAGGAAAGAAACACTGCATGGTTCAAAATTGTGAAGGGTGCACACCAAAGATGTGTCCTATCTCCATACTTCCTCAATCTATATGCAGAACAGATTATCTGGGAGGCTGGGCTCTATGAGAAGTGTGGCATCAGGACTGGAGGAAGAATTGTCAACAATCTGTTATACAGATGACAGAAACCCTGCTAGCTGACACTGAGGAGGACCTGAAGTGCTTGCTGCAGAAGGTCAAGGACTGCAGCCTTCAATATAGATTGAAGCTCAACCTCAAGAAAATAAAGATTCTCACCAATGGGCTGACTGGCAACATTATGACAGATGGTGAAGACACTGAGATTGTTAACGGCTTTAAGTTTGCTCGGCTCCACAATCAACATTTTTGGTACCAGCAGCCAAGAAATGAAAAGCTGAATTGCATTGGTAAAGTCTGCTCTCAGAGACCTCTCCAAAGTACTGAAGAGCAACAATGTCAGTCTGGAGACTAAGGTGTGCCATGGGCTTTGCAATTACTTGTTATGTATCAGAAAGTTGGGTAATGACTAGGGATTGATAGAAGGAGGATTGACACCTTTGAGCTGTGGTGCTGGAGAAGAGTCCTGAATATATCACGGACATCTCAGAGAACAAATAGGTTTGTCCTAGAAAGGGTGAAGTAAGGCTGCTCCTTGGAGACAAGGATTCTGATTCTGAAGCTTTGTCTAATCTACTTTGGACATATTGCAAAAAAGGACCAGTCCTTGGAGTGGGAGGTCACGCCTGGGAGGCTGGAGGGACAGCTCAAGAGAGGAAGCCTTCGATGAGATGAATTTAGTGACTGGGGTAATTGGGGTATGTGGGTCAGAGACACTAAGATTGGCACAGGATAGAGCAGGGTTTAGGGCTGCTGTATATAGGGTTGCTATGAGTCACAGGCTACTCAATGGCACACAGCAAAAACAACAAAAACAAAAAAACCCATGTCAAATGAAGTCTTAAAAAAATTCTAAA